CACACCGAATTCCTAGCAGACCAAACCCACCACCCGAACACCGCCAGACATCATGTAGAAGCCCCTGAATAATTCATATCACTACTGTTTAGGGTTCCGTGCCTACTTTAAGTATAGTTTACTGTACCCCAACCCTTTTCTTATTATTATCCACAAAAGGGGCCCTGTGTTGGATACTCAATACCTGGCGCCCAGCCATCCGAAATCCTGAGGAAGTCGAAGGGGGAGAAGCTCTGAAGTTGTCGGGCTCCTTCAAAGAGACGGTCACCATGTAATGTAGGGGCCGGAGGAATTCGAGTAGGATTCTGAGGTATATGATACTATAAACATAGTAGGGAACCGCCAAAATAGTAGAGGTAAGTATTGAGGCCCCTATATTAAGTAGGGCCCTTTCCAAAAGAGTATCTTATTGCAGCAACTTCGGCTACTTTTCGGTTATTCCTGATTTTAAACCAGAGTCTCCAGTCATCTGAAGCACTACAGAATTCGATTCTCACGCTTCGGGTTTCCCAGTGCCGTGACTTCGTGAACACCTTCTTTTGCAGGCCAACCCCAAACGAGTGCGCCTGCATCATGTGGACTTTGCCCGCATCGCCTGCGTGGGGGGCCCAGCAGAAATTTTATAGGGGCATTAATGATGACCTGTACTATTTAGGGCGTTCCTTATCAAAAATGTAGTATAATGTACTCCAGAACCCTATTCTAATCCTTAAGCCCCCTACATTAGTCCACTAGCCATGCTGTTGTGTCTCTGCTTCAGATCTAGGGTTTCCAGATTTCAGGTTTGGCTCGCGGCAGCAACTTCAGGGTTTAGGGTTTTGGGGTTAGGGTAACACGAGGCTTGAGGTTTAGAAGGCAGAGCCGCAATTGGTGGCTACTGTCATTTCTGCAGCAATGATTTCCTTTCAGCTTATCTCTGAACTCATAGCGACGCTTACTATACTTCCTGAAGTAGGCTGTACTACCCCATCCCCTACCACCCTTAAGGTCCTTATCTCTGAGCTGTAACTCATACAGTCCCAGTTCTGCGCACGAGCCACGTGAGTCGAAAGACCTACTTCTGCTAGAGGTTTCACAGGGGTTTCACCAGACTCAGCCCTGAGCGTCTAGGTTTTTGGGTCACAGGCAAACCTTGCACTTGGGTAGTTCTCTAAATTAGGGCCCCTTTTAGGTCCCCGATATAGTACGGCACCCTTATAAAAAGGAGCCAAAAGGGACCCTAGTTTTGAGAACTACCCACTTTGAGTTATTCTCTTGTATTATCCGGCTCAAGCCTGGAGTAAAGAACCGACCTTCCAAAGAGTTGAAGTCGCATCAGGGCTTTAAAGGGTTTGGGCTTAGGGGTTTAGGGTTTAGGGTTCAGGGATTTAGGGTTCAGGGTTTTGGGTGTAGGGGGGTTAGGGTTTAGGATGGTTGGATTTACAGCTTTTGTAGCTTCGTGGGTTGGGGTGTAGAGGTTTCGGGAGAAGCGGCTTCCAGTGCAGAGCTTCTACGCGGGGAGTTTCCCAAAAACAGGCCTGAACCTGAAGACAGGACACGTTTGTCTACCTCACGTAGCTTATGGATTGAGCCAATTTTCATCACACTTGCCTTATCATGTGGCGGCAGAGGGGTTTGACATTTCAGAGTCCAGATGCCGTTCAACTTTGAATCCAGTCTCGAATCCAAGGCAGCTTAGGGCTTATGGGACTCCACGAACCCAGAAAACGCCGAAACCTGGACGCGGGTAAACGGAAATGGACGGAAGCCGTCAACTTGCCTATCAGCTCTGATGGAGATGGCTTCATGCAAGTTCGAATCCAGGTGCGGTTTTTGTCGACCTGACGACACACCGAAGAGTATCGAAGAGTCTTCTCTGAAAGCAACTTTCCATTTAGAGTCACAGGTCCTCCTTGATCCCGGATGCGGGTTTCTAGGCCCTGAATATTCAACTGGCAAGTGTTCGTGCAAAGGAGCCAAGATCCAACAAAGATTCCACAATCCCTCAACGTGCAAAATCGTGCATGTGCAAAAATGCAATCGTATTCGTGCATGCATAGCTGCATCGTGCGGAATTCACCAACTCGAGACTTTAGAGCATGCCACAGTGTGGAGGCCTGGGCTGGTAGCAGAAAGCCCAGAATTTTGGAATGAAGAATCTGCAGTCCGCTATGCCTAGGTCCAGAACCCAGATTCGAGTTTTAATGCTTAAAACTTTAAAATCAACCCTTTCATCTCGCAGACATGCCGTGCATAAGCCCGGAGCCACCAAAATCACAAGAAGCGGCACCTTAGCAATAGCATATACGTGAAAAGATCATGTCTTGGTCGGGTTCGTGCTCTTCAAATGTGCCTCAGGGAAAAAACTTGGAATGGTTGTTCGTGGCAGCTGATTGTTGCCCTGGGACAACTCACCAAGCCACATTCTAAAGTGACAGTCTTGAAAGGTTCTCGTAGGCTGGCGCTGCAACAGACCCTAACCTTTGCAGTGCAATCTAATAGCAAGTCGTTTTCGCCGGCACAGAGAAACCAAAACCGGGCAGACCGATGTCTAAACAGCGATCAATGAACCCCAGGGGTCAAGGCATGCACATCGTAGTCTTTCGATCCCATCAGGTGGCGTGTGTGGTGAGTGAACATAGTGGCGGCAGTGAGTTCTCAGCGCACAACTGGTTGTGGGTTCAACAGTGTCTTGGCGCAAGCAGAGTCTTGTCGGGTGACCAAGTGAAAGAGCACTTAAGATGGTCGGCCGAGGGGAACAGCTGAGACTGTAGTCGTAGAAGAAGTAGTAGTTGTTGTAGTGGGTCGTAGTAGTTGCAGCAGCAGCAGCAGCAGCAGCAGCAGCAGCAGCAGCAGCAGCAGCAGTAGTACGGCCATTGGTACTGATACTAATCCTAGTAGGACTACTAGTACTAGTACCATTACTTAGCTAGGAGTTAGCCAGTTAGTAGTAGCAGCAGTAGCAGTAGTAGTCGCAGTAGTGGTGGTTCCGGCTTTGCCGTTTGTCGTTTCTCATGGCTTCAGGGTTCAATCCCCAAGTATTCTTGTCCACGCCTGAAAGCCCATTCGGCAAAGACCTTGAGCTTGACTCGCTTCAGAATTCGATGAGGTAACAGCTAAACCAGGCACGCAGCACCCATTAGGCTGTGGAGTACACGTGTTAGTTAGTTGTGTTTTTTGCACGTTTGGGTTTTGATGCTGAGGTGTTGGGGTTTATGTTTTTCGGTTTAGGGCTTTGTGGATGTGGGTGCAAATGCAGGGTTGGGCTGTTCATTCCATAACGCCACAATTGTCATACAAGACTACGGTTCATTGCTGGATACCGAGCTTCGACATCTTTTTCGTTTTAGGGTCTTGGGAGTAGCGATCAAAACCGAAGCTCCTTGAAAACGGCACGGCTTCGTGGTCCAGGGCTGGGGATTGTGCCAGCGCGATTTCAGGTTAACGCCAAGGTAGGTCGAAGCTGTAGGAGTGCTTTTGCATCCGAAGCCCTCAACCCTGATCTCTGCACGTTTTCCGAACAGCCTGTCGGCCGCCAGGTGGGTGGTACCGTTTCTTTACTTGGTCAGTGGTGTCGCGCCTTGAAATTGGGGTTCGGGGTTCAGGTTCTCAGGCTGCAGGGTCTGAGTCTTAGGGTTCAGGTATCGAAGTTCAAGATGCCAGAAAAGCATGAAGCATTCCCAGCTCCTGTTTGCCGGTATGGCTTTCCCAGCATTGAAGCTGCTGTTGATATCGAATGGAGTAAAGGAGTCAAGATGATTTAGGAAGCCAACGTAGGAGGTACGAAGGTTGGATCGACGTTACCTGCGAACACCTTCCCCACATGACAGAGTCTTCGTGACATCTTTACAGCAGGAGAAGCCTGATCCCTCAACGCTGAGCCCCAAAATCTCAACCCTCAGCCTCAAACTGAAGAAGCATGGAGGGGCCCTTGGCCTTTTATGGGCATCCTCATTGCTAAGCTTGGGTTCCATTGTCGGAAGGACAGTTCCGTGGCTCCAGGCGCCCCCTCCACCAACTACACTTGCTCTAAAACATCTTAAGAGCAAATCCGTTTTACTCGGTATTTACAGCACTTTCGTCATGTGCGATCATCATAAGCAGCCTCAAAATCGACTTGCCGAGCTTGCAAACTCGGCCTCTTGATTTTGGACTTGCTTCTGCGGCGGATGGGGGTGCGGGGTGGGGGGGTGGGGGGGGTGGGATGATGACGACAGTGTTACGCATACACAACCAACAGTATCACCACAAGAGCCATTTTACTCAGTATTTACTATATAGTTGCCACCCCTACTTCTGGACTGTGCGTCTTAAACTTTGAGTCTCGAACGGCTTGCAGCGAAAACTCGATATTGGGTGGGGGAAAGCTTTTCCTCGGTATTTACACTACTTTCGCACGCAACTCGGCTTTTAATTACTCGGTATTTACAGTACTTTTGGTCATGTTGGTGATGAAAGGTGATGAAATGTGTTTGCTTTTTGGTGATGTTGGTGATGAAATGCGTTTGCTTTTTTCGTAAGCACACAACCCAGCTTTTACTCAGCATTTACAGTACTGTTGGCGATGTTGGTGATGACAGGTGATGACCTGTGCTTGATCTTTCGTGATGTTGGTGATGAAATGTGTTTGCTTTTCTTCGCGATGTTGGTGGTGATGATGTTGATGACAATGGGGTAGTGTAGTTGGTAGGGGGGGCGGGGGGTGGCTAGTTGCAGTAGTAGTAGTAGTAGTAGTAGTCGTCGTCGTCGTCGTCGTCGTAGTCGTATTCGTAGTCGTAGTCGTAGTCGTAGTCGTAGTCGTAGTCGTAGTCGTAGTCGTAGTCGTAGTCGT